TGTAATAGGCACCAATACCCCTGTTATGTCTAAAAAGTCACGCTTATGTCAGCTCTATAAATGTCTTTTTATACTAGCTGTCAAGCCCATACCTGCGCAAAGATATTCATACTAACTCTATCTCATTTCAAGAGATGAATGGACGAGAGTCTTCCATGTGTCAAGGCAACTTGCAAAACACTCATTACATTGAGTTCAAATGTGTATAAATTGACACTTCTCTTCCCGAAAAGGGAGGCTGGGCATGTGAGAGCTAAGCATAGATTTGAGTTCAATTCTTTCTCTCTGTAAACACTGTATTTCTTTATCTTTGTATGCCTTGCGGGCAATATCACAAAAATAGTCAGAGATCAATAAAATAACAGTGGATGTAGAAGTTGCTTGTTTAAGCATCCGAACCACTATAAAAACCTCTCTTGTTAGCCTATTATTTATGTTTTATGTAACATATATAATCTCAGCTCTATATTCAAATCTCATAGATCTATCACGTGTAATTTCTAAGACTCTCTTAGCACTTTGCGCGTGCGAGTCGTTGGCGTCCAAAATCATGCGTCAACAACCCCAAATGAAAAATGCGAATGTAATGGTTTTCAGAACATAATATAACAAAAAAGGGATAAATTATGTCACCAGTTGACAGTTGAGGCCATAGATGCATCCTCTATTTACCAATTTCTTTCAGAAAATTGAGAAAAGCTAGAGTTGAGAGTTCAGAAAAATTACCAGCTGAAGAGTGTGAGAAGTAAGTACTTGAATCTTGCCATCCTTGCCAAGAGCAGGCTCCCCAGATTTGTTCCTCTTCACCATGTCCTAAGTGTTGCCATGATCGGCAGTGATGACATATATTCCACCAACTTGTTCTATTGCATCAATAATCATCTGAAATTGAACATCTTTCCATCATCAGGCAACAAAAACAAGATGACTTTTAGCAGAACAGCTATGTGGAAAACTAATAAATTAGTCATAAAAAATTTCATGAACTATAATTATGGAACTCAGAATTCAAAAAGGGAAATCTGAAATCCCAATAGTCTGAGACAATTAATCTTGACATGATACTTTCAATTAAAAAAAAAAAAAAAAAGGGTTTATATATTTTTGTTTTTATTTTATATATTATTATTTTTATAATAAACCGGTTTCGGTTAACCGGTTCCCATAATCCCATAAACTAGTAACCCAGTTTCTATATTTCTTTGAATCGAAAAACAGGCTCGGTTCGATTTTTGTATTTTTTTTTAACACCCCTAATAAGTAGTGAACAAGGATTAAGTGATTAGCTATACCTAGCAAAACAAGCGGGTGGGTCGAGTCCAGTAGGTACTAGCCCAAAGCAGGTCGGTTCTAAACATGTCCAAAATATTAGACCTGGATCCTACCTTATGCGGGTATGGGTGGACCCGCAGGTATCCATACTCATCTACCAACTCATCTGCAGTTCTTCTACCAACTTATCGTATGTGTCATCATGCTTCTAGTCAACCTCCTCTGCGATATTGCTTCAAGAATCGCTAGCAACACCTCTTCATCGCCTTTAAAATACTTCTCTATCCTCATTTTTAGCTTTGATATCAAACAACAAATGCTTAAATCACATATAATTTAAATCTCCGAAATCTAGTACAACTTTTTTTCAATCTAAGCTTCGAAATTTTTAGAAGATAAATTTCAACAATACAAAATAAATTAAACCCAGAAACCTTTCATGAATCCTAGCTCAGAATTCTACTAGAATGAATTTCAGATTCAATAAAAAAAAAAAAAAAAAAAAATCAGACCCAGAAAACTTACTTCCACTTTTCTCCATTTTCCCACCAACCAAACATATAATACATACATAGTGGCATAATGCTTATTGTTTTTGGGTTTCAACCAAGAGTTACAATGATAATCAAAGGTTGGAAATCCAATTGAAGGTGATTCATTGAAAGGCCCAGCAACATAGAGTATTTGGATTGCTTTGGTCCATCCCCATAAGCCCTTTAACTCCTTGGCTTTGCTATTGCCACCTTTTGTTCTGGTGTGGCCATTCTCCTTTCCTTTACACACTCTTCTTCTCCTTCTAAAACTTCCCACACCCACCCATCTTTTAATCGAATCACTTTATATAACCTCATTTTGTGTTGTTATGTGTATGCTATTTTCAAGGGGAGCGCAAAACTAAATCAGCTCCAAATCAAATGTTAATTAATTAATGGTGGTTATTATATATATCATTGTAATTCAGATTTGGAGTAATTTATGGCACAAACTTTTAAAACCCAAATTTATATTCCGGTGACAAATAAGAGAAAACTGTTCCAGCTATATAATATATATATACACATGCATTGAATTTAGATTTGGAGTAATTTATGGAGTTAACCACTCCCCCCCCCCCCCCCCCATAATGGTTTAATGACATTTTTTACCCACAAACTTTTTTAAACACCCCTTTACTACCTAAATTTATATCGGCGACAAACAGAGAGAAAACTCGGTCCAAGCTATTGGGGCTTTTGAAGAGGGGAGGCGATGAGTCTTTTGGTGGTGGAAAGTTGAATTTGGTGGTTGAGATTTATCGGAATTTAACTTGGGAGGGGGGAGCTATGCAAACCCTAATCGCTCGATTATCGATGATTGGTGGATTGACAAAAATAAGGTTTGAAGGGTTTCGATGAATGATGATCGATGAAGAGAATGATGGTGGTGTGAGGGCGCAACGATGTCGGAATCAGAATCAGAAACATAATATAAATTTGATAATAAAGTGTTATTTTAAAAGTTCGTAGTGAAAAAGTATCATAAACCATATTTGGGTAGAAAAAAGTCGTTTACTCTAATTTATGACTTAAAAGAATAAATTTAAACGCTGATGCCTACAAATTAATGCATTAAGGAAGATTACTTTGAAAATAAAATTAGTGACAAGCAGTAAAAATTGGTTCAACCTTTTCTTAGGAGAAAAAAATGATTAAATATGTAAATAGATATGATATCTTGATAAATAGAAGGTTCTTTTTAAGATTAATCATACACAAATAAAACTAAAGGCTCATTTGGGATACTGTAGCTTAAAGTTTAATAATATATTTTCTAAAGTCTCAAAAGAGACTGAACAATTAAAACTTAACCAAATGCAAAAACTTGGTTGGATGTTCATTGCTGATTATCTTTGATGGGTGGTGTAAAAATTAATAAATATATGATTTAATAGAATATTTTTATATTGAGAAATGCTTTAACTAAAAAAAGGATCTATTTTAAATCAAGGCAATTCCTTGCGACATCCACATAACACTTTAATTAAAAAAAAAAAAAAAGGGGCAAACAACATCCTCCCACCCGAAGTTTGCCCTAAGGACAGTTTACTCTCGAAAAGCTTCAAACGACAATTACCACTTTTCGTTAATATATGTTAGTAAAATATATAATGACATTGATAGTCATTGGAAAGACAAAAGTACCCTATTCTCTTGAATCCAAATCAGATCTTATTCGGCATGGGATGGAAGGTTTTGTGAGTGAGGGTCGGAGGTTGTAGAGGTAGTGGAAGATTGGGTTTTTGCCGTAGGAATCAAGCTTAAATTACGTAAAACAGCAAAACCCTAATTTGCCACGATCGGCGAATGATGGGATGAAAGATGCGGGGATTAAAGGGATTTTGATCAAAGGAGGTTGCGGAAGCTGGTGGTGTTGACGAGGAAGACCAACGGTGCCAAATCGGCCAGAGACAGTGACGCAAGCGGTTGGCTAAAAGTCATGAGTTTTGGCTAAAATCCGACCAAAAACCCAATCAAAAGGCAAATGGGATATGCAAGAGGCTTGGGTGATGATTTCTGACGGAAAACAATCTTATAGGAAAGAAGGGTAGAAGGGCAGATGGTTGTTCGGTTTGTTAATACCTTAAGTAGGAATCAGAAATAAGCAGCTACTGCCTAACTCCATTAAATGTTGGCCGATTGCTTCCCTTTTCGTAAACCTGCACTCGCAAGCTACTGATATTCTCACCAAGTTCGCTCTCAATTGTTATTGAAGTTTCTTATAGACATGGATGCCAAACCTGCACTTTCTTTCTTAGGCTCGTATCTGGTTGGGTGCGATTTTGGCTAAATCGCATCCGATCGGGTGCGATTTGACCGGAATCAGGTCTCGGTCAATGTGAATTGGTGATTGGGAGATGAAGATAGGAGGAGGGGGAACTGAGAAGAAGGTTTTCTTGTTTATATACACAGGGGTAAAGTGACATAATTACCATTTGACTATTTTTTAATTTACCATCCTATCCTTATTCAATTAAACTTAACGGACAAATATAACGAAAAGTGGTAATTTCGTTTTTTAAACTTTGGATAACTGGTTTAGTCAAAATTCGGTGGGAACATGTGATCGCCCAAAAAAAAAAAAAAAAAAAAAAAGAAAAAAAAAAAAACCCAAACTGACTTAGGCTTTAACTAAAACTAAAAACAGACAGAACACACAGGTCATATGGTCCAAACTGCAAACCCGAAGCCTTTCCCGTACGAGCTCCTGCCGAAACAGAAGTTCGCATAAACAGTTTTAGAGCTACCCGCGTCTCTTTCTCATTCTCAATTCAATTAAATTTTTTAAGTCTTCTTAAACTACTATCTGGTTTTTCTCTTAGGGTTCCTGCGTTCTTGTCTACTTTCCTTATGTTTCCCACAATTTCTCTCTATCCAAATATCTGTACAACCTCAATTTCTTGGAAACTCCCGTCTGGGTCGTCTCAATTGAGCTCCCAGGACCCTGCAGATGAATTTAATGTTTTTTAATTTATGTTTTTAATCGACTTTTTCTCTTATTTTCCCTCAGTTTTCTCGCTATCCAAACAGTCGTACCCTCTAATTCTTGCAATTAAAGTCTCGAAAAACATAAATTTATCAATATACCTCAAGTGGCTATTTAGTTACCGCCTAAAAAATAAACCTTTCCGAGATTTTCCTTTCTTCTTCTCATGATCCAAAAGATATAGTTTTTAGATCCGTGGATAAATTATGGGTTTTTCGTTTAAGCTTACAACGAAAGGTAAAAGGTATCGTCCGGAACCTTCTGTTGAATCAGAGACTTGTACAACTAAAGTTTCAGAGGCTTGTATAGATGATGTTTCGGAGAATTCAAGGCAAAGAGCTCGAACTCTAAAGCCAGAGGTAAGTTTTTTGAAATTGAAGAAGTGTCTTTGAAATTAAATTGTATGAAAGAGGAAGAAAATAAATATTTTACTATATAGTTTAAATTTAACTGAAATTAGGTAGCTTTACTTTTTTTTCGTTTGTCACATAACCGTTGCATGTTACTAGTATAGTTGCAACTTACCCCAATAATGCTGTGGATTATTGAAACTTTTGGTTGTGATAATGGTTCTGGGCAGTAGCAAGTCCCCTTAACTTGAAGAGGTTAATTTGGTTGATTTTGAGTTTTCACTTGTTTAATTTTTTTTTTTTCCCAATTTTGATGGTGATACTTGATGACTTAAAATATAAGATCCCAAACTTTCAATTTCCTTGTGATTAAACTATTAATATAATTTTTACATTGTCATTTTTTGTAGTTTGTGTATGGTGTAACTCCAAATTATTTGTTATGTTAATATTGTTTATTTATTTTGGCATAGAAGTGGAATCATATTATTGTTGAATATGGTTTTTCAAAGCTATTTCTCATTAAAAGTTATTTTTCATGCTCTATCAAGTGACTTCAACAGATAGTATACAGAAATTTAGTGTGTTATCAGACTTCTGATTAAAACTTTTATAGGCTTCATTTTATTGGTGATCTTTTCATTATGCTCGAGTTGAGTGATGAGAGAACTCAGGACAAGTAAGTAATTAAACTTTTTGGTATTCAAGGAACCAAAAACTGTGGATAGTTTAACTGAACCGAAGACTAGCAATTTTCACTTTTAGCAAAAAGTTTCGTTTTTGGAATCTATATCAACAGATGCGTGAGATGAGAATATTAAGTTTTTTTTTTTTTAATCCCCTCTTATTTTGAAAAAAATAATATTATATTGCATAAATATATGCCACCTTTTATTGCAATTAATAGATTCCAAGTTTCTATTTGATTCAAACTTAAATTATACTATTGCACACAGCTTATTTACTCACCTATGATTTTCTGTGATTTAGGGAGAGGATGTTGGTGGAGTATCTCATTGCAATGAAGGGTTTGGCATAGCTGCAGGTTAGATTCATTGTTAGTTAACATGGTTATCTCTTATAATTGGATCTTGAGTTTGTTGCTTTTTTCTTTTTTGGCAGGTCATGAAGTTTCTGTTATATTGAACCTGTACCCAGATGGATTCTTTATTGAAAAACCCTTGGAGGTTTGTTGAAAGCAACATTAATTTTAGAGAGTAAATTGAAAAGGACTATTTCTAATGTATTGGTCTTAAGCTCATCTAATTTTGGATTGTCAGAAAGAAGCTGTGCATCAAGTTCAAGAAGCTCCAAAAAAGTTACTTCCGTATGATAAAGCTTCTGATATCTTTTTAGTGGTAAGTATCTTATTATTTCCTTTAATTTATTCTCTTAGGTGATTTCTCTTGATTAGTACTCTTAGAAATTTCTTCAAAGAATATAGTTGCATTTGTGTCGCGTGGTGATATTCTATTTGTTATTCTTTTATGTCAACATTTATTGGGCATGCTCATCTTGGAACTTAGATTTATATTACATTCTTAAAAATCATTATCTATAATATAATAATGCTCTACATTTTCGTACTTTTTCACAACTTTTTACTAACTTTTCTTTCCTTTATGTATAAATGTAATTTAAGGCTATGGAGTCTGGCCAATTGCCTATAGATTTTCCGGATAGTATTTCTGGCAAATATGTTGGTGGAACACTTGTGTGTGAGGTAAGTTTTTTAGTTATATTATGTTACCTAGTATTGACCTACATTGTATGGGTAGGCTAATTTAAATGTGTTGGTTTTTTTTTTTTTTTGGTTTATATATACATATTTATGTATTTTTCTATGAGTTCAAAATTCTAATTTCAATTTAAAAAAAAAAAATTCTTATATTTTTACAGAAGAATCTAATCTTTTTATTTGTTTATGTGTTCTTTTAATTTTTTAAAATTTTTAAATTTAAAATTTTTATATAAAATTGAGGATCTCTTGATGAAGGTTTTTTGGTCTAAACAAACTGATCTTGTCACATGTTTGATACCATCCAATATTTACTTTGCTAAGCATAAGTACTTTTTAACATCTAATTAATTTAGAAGTGACAAAAATGTACATATCATACTGCTCACATTTATGATTTGGGGATTACAGGTGCGAGATTATAGAAAGTCTGAATCTGAGCAACGATCTACATCTAGTTCACCTATGCCTGGATTCCCTATTGTTAAGAAAGTACGCCTTAGGGTGACTTTGGAGAATGTAGTGAAGGATGTCTCTTTGGTCTTGGACGATTCTTGGTCATACGCTGATTTGATGGTAAGCATTATTTTCACTCTTGTCCATGACATAAAATTTCTATCATCTCATGAGGTTATGATGCAATATCAACTTTTGGCTACAGGATGTGGAGTCTGAGATAGTGAATGCTATGAACCCACAACTTTGTCTAGATCCTACTCCCAAATTGGATAGGCTTTCTACCAATCCAGTTAACGAAAAGGTAACAAATTATATTGTCACGTTATAGTTATCGATAGAGGAATTTGTTATATGTTTCTAAACTCTGATATCTTCGCTTGCAGCTTGATTTATCTGTGAGAAGTCTACGAAAAAAGAGATTCAGGCAGATGCGAGAAGCTAGTAGAGTGCCAGAAAGCTCCCATGGCAGGGTGGAAGAGTCTGGGATTTCTGACATTATGATGCCACATGTCAATGTGAATATGACTGCTCAAAATCTGGTTTCAAATCAGTTGTTACCATTGAAGCATAAAAATTTTGTACCTGATGCTTCTATACCATTAGTACCTCTAGTAACCCAACAATCAAGGTATCAAATTGGGGTTGGGATACCAGGTATGCAAGATCATGGGCCAAGTTCTGTTGTCAATCCATCTGGAGCTTCGTCTGTTGGACAAGAGATGATCTCATATGCTGAAAATATGAACTCTACTACTTTTCAGGCGAAAAGGGAGAGTCAAGATGGACCATTGTCTCCGTTATCCAGTTATAATAAGAGAGCTAGGCTTAACCTCTTAGCCCCTGATGGAATTCAACATCCGCACACTGGGACATCTATGGACAATCTCCATGGAGTTGATGTAAATTGGAAGAAGACATTGTTAGAGCAACCAGTAGTGGGATCAGATGCTAGTCATTTGGAAGCTCAACAATCACGACTTCAACAAAGATTACCGCAGCATGCATTTATGAGGACTAGTTTCACCCAGCCATGGAATAATATGGTTCAACATGTTGAAAAAGATTCAAGAAAGGAGGATCAGTTCCAAAAAAGAAAAACAACCCAAAGTCCACGGTTGTCTTCTGGGGCTTTGCCTCAATCTCCATTGTCTTCAAAGTCAGGAGAATTTTCAAGTGGTTCAGTTGGACCACAATTTGGAGTTGTTGCAACATCTGCTTCACTTGCATCGCACAAGGAAAAGTCTGTGGTAACCTCGGTTCCTGCTGTATCTAGTGCAAATGAATCAATGCAGCGTCAACATCAGGTTCAAACTGCAGCTAAAAGAAGATCAAATTCTCTCCCTAAGACCCCAGGAATTAGTGGAGTTGGGTCTCCAGCTAGTGTTAGTAATATTAGTGTTCCACTTAATGCAAATAGTCCTTCAGTTGGAACACCACCTTTGAGTGATCAATCCATCCTCGATAAGTTTTCGAAAATAGAAAATGTGGTCATGAGGTATAATATTGATTCTACCAATCTCAGACATGTATTGCATCATAATAGTTTACTTTGTCTGTGTTGTTTTTCTGATTCTGCATAAGAACATCAAAGGTTTAATGGAATGAAATGGAAATATTTGAATTGCATAACGCGTATAATTAAAAGCGTCAATAATAACTTAAATTTTTATATTTCATGAATTTGATAGTTTTTCTTTATAAGTAATTTCATCTTGCTCATTATTTTCTATTTTGTTTGGTTGTATTTTCAGATATCAACTTAATTCTAGAAAGAATAAAGTTGATGATTATCAGATGAGAAAGCCAAATTCATATTCAGCCCAAAATCTGTTGGCTTGTCTCAACAGTGTTTCAAATAACGAGGATTTTAAAGATGAGTTGAGGCCATTATCGAAGTCATTGCTTGGTGGCAGTATGAATATCTCCAAATACAGAGTCTTAAATTTTGTAAACCCAGAACGTATACTTCAAGGTCTGTTGTTCAATTTCTTGTTGGATTTTTGGTCTTTTCCAATATCTAATCATTTCTTCTATCTGACTAAGCTTCATCTTTTGCTTTCAGGAAATGTTGTATCTATTGTTCATCGGTTACGAACTAGAATGGTCATGTTGGAGAAGGTAAATGATGGCACTGTAGCAATGTATTGTGGAGACAAAGAAGAAGGTGATATTCTGGCCGTGGAGGAATATCTTCCTATATTACCCAATACGGTAAGTTTTCTTCATAAATTACGCATTTCCATTAGTCTAGAAGCTGAAAAGTTAATTTATTTTATTTATGAAATAAAAAGGTATTTTAAAATCAATTATCTTCTCAAAACTAAGGATTTGGAGTAGTGAAACATGAATATTAAATGCTTGTTTTAGATGCAATGTATTTTATATTATATATGATCTGAGCATGTACTTTTTGATTAACAATAGAGAAAATAAATACAGCTAAGCTCAATTTACTTGATCGAATACTAAATTTAATTTTGATTATACTTTGGTTTAATAAATGTGATGTATATTTCGTTTAAAAATAATTTTTCACTTGGATGACCGCTTTAACCTGTTAATCATTTGATTTGATTTAATTAGTAGATATAGTTGGTGAAAGTTCAAGGTGGTCATATTTTGTTGATTTAAATTTTGTTGGTTGTTACTATAGTTGATGATCAATATTAGTTATTACATATGATGATTCAAGGTTGTAATATTTTATTGCATAATTGTTTAAGTTTATTGTTGTAAATTTTGGTAGTTATTAATTGTTGATGAATAATGTTAGTTATTATAGATGATGATCAATGGTTGTTAATTGTTTATGTATTTTATCATCGATGATAACCTTTACAAGTGTTGACCTTCTGCCATCTGTAATTATTATTGTTGTTCTGACATATGAATTTGATTAATCCTTGTAACAGCACTCGGCTGATTTGCTTGCGGCACAATTTAGCTCACTGGTAAGTTCTAGAAAATGGCTTTGCTGTTTAGAACGAAACTTATGATTTCATGGTATCTCTGAATTTTGGTTTAATTTAGATCTTCTTGTCTTATGCAGATGACACGTGAGGGATGTCATATGGAAGATCATTTACAAATAAAACCCACACGTATGAGTTTTATGTCAAGCGGCCCACCTAGTAGTGGAGTTTCACCAAATAATAATTCAGGAGCTGATATGCAGCAGTATGCCGAAGCAGTTTCTGGTCAGGCAATATCCAACGAAGTTGCAAAGCCAAGTAATGGTTTAAATTCATCACAGAATCTTCTAGCAAGCACCAGGATGCTTCCTCCTGGAAACCCTCATGCTGTACAGATGTCTCAAGGACTCATGTCCGGAGTTTCAATGCCTCTGAGGCCACAGCAGCTTGACCCACAACAATCAGTTCAGTCACAGCAACCACAGCAACAACAGCAACCTCCAAACCATCACCCCTTGATGCAGCAGCCACAACAACAGTTTCAGAGATCAATAATGCTTGGGCCAAATTCAGTCTCAAACTTGAATGCAAACATGCAATTGGGTAATATAAGCGACGGTATTTTTCATTTATATAAATTCTGTACAATGAAATACATATTTATAGGCACTTTACAACTAATGGATAAGCATAAAAGAATAAGATACAACTTTAAACTAGTTTGAAATTAACTAGCTAGTTAGAAATTTGAATTAGGTATGTCACAGAATCAGAAATGGATAGAACAAAATATCTTAGCTGATTTCATGATTTTCCGCAGGTATGGTCAACAACAAACCGTCAGCCGTCCAACTTCAGATGTTGCAGCCACAACAGCAACAGCAACAACAACAACAGACACAAATGCAAAGGAAACTGATGATGGGACTTAGCCCTACTGTAGGTATGGGAAACATGGGAAATAACATGGTTGGGCTTGGAGGCTTGAGCAATGCTATGAGTATGGGAAGTGCAAGGGGATTAGGAGGAACGGGAATGTCAGCACCCATGGCCTCAATATCTAGTATGGGTAATGTGGCTCCAAATTCTATGCATCATAACCAAGCAGCAAACATCAGCAACGTTATTAGCCAGCAACTTCGATCTGGAAAAATAACTCCACAACAAGCAGCACTGATGGCATCAAAACTCAAGAGTCAAAGAATTTTGGGGCCCCCTCAATCTAGCATAGCTGGGATGTCCGGAGCAAGACAGATGCTCCCAGGGTCCGGTGGTCTTTCATCAATGTTGGGCCAGAACCTAAACCGGACTAACATGAATCCCATGCAGCGGACAGCAATGCCGCCGCCAAAGTTAATGCCAGGGATAAATCCGTACATGAGCCAACAACAGCAGCAACAGATGCAACAACAACAACTTCAGCAACAGCAACATCAGCAACATCAGCAACTTCAGCAACAGCTACAACACCAAATGCACCAGCAGCAACAACAGTTACAGCAGCCACCACAGCAGCCACCGCAAGAAACAGCATCACCTCTGCAGGCTGTTGTTTCACCATCTCAAGTTGGCTCACCATCAACCATGGGGATACCACAGTTGAACCAACAACCTCAGCAACAGTTGAGTCCACAACAACTCAGTCAAAGAACTCCATTGAGTCCGCAACAGTTGAGCTCTGGGGCAATGCATGCCATTAGTGCTGGTAACCAAGAGCCTTGTCCAACTAGCCCACAGTTGAGCTCTCAAACCCTTGGTTCCGTTGGTAGCATTACAAATTCCCCGATGGATTTGCATGGTGTAAATAAAAGCTAGTGCTTAGGCAAGCTTGGATGACTAACATGTGACTGTAGTACTTACTGTCCACACATTCTGATGCAATATAATATTCCCTTGTGATAAATGCCTCATGTCTGCTTTTATCAGTCTCATATCTACTTTATCTGTTGTAATGCGTGCTTGGCTTTTAATTTTCTCTCTGATGGATTGTAACTAGTTGTTATTATCTTTTAAATTTTATTTTCTGAAGAAACCTTCATTATATCCATGGGTGTTAAAGAAAAGAGGATAATTCCTTTTGTTTGGAATCTTTTCATGGATAAAGGCCAACTACCTTCATGAGATTTGAGAAAATTTAGTTGCTCGGCCATCCCAAGTTTCGATTTAAGAAAATAGTCTTGAAACTGTTTTTCATTTTTTTTTTAATTTAGAGAAGATGATGTGGCATAGTTAGGAATAATTAAACACGTAAAATGGGTTAAAATGAAAAGATAAAAACATATGTGGGCCGAATTAGAAATAATGAAAGTTTTTAAAATTCGAAATTTCTCAAAACAAGCCCCATTATTCACCTCGTTTAATCGAAATTCATTAGGGCAAAAAGCGATTTCTTGAACCAAAGGGAGATGCGATTTTTTTGATCGAACCTGCACAAATTTGCACCCTAAAATCAATTTCTTGAACCCTAAACCGAATACAATTGCGATTTTCGGTGATATAGTCGCTATTTTCGATCGATTTGTTGAACCCTAAAATCGATTTCCTTAACCCTAAACGGAATCTGTGCGATTTCCGGCGATACAGTCCACATTTTCGATCGAAACTGCAAACTTTGACACCAAATTTAATCCAAAACCATGGCTGACACTCATAAGGACAAGGAAAACCCAACGCTACTTCGAATCCTAGATTCCGGTGGCGCAAGCAGTTCAATGACTGCTCCGGTGGATCATTCAATCAGTGAAGGTGGTCCACACGCAGAGGAGACGCCTGCGGCACAAGATCAGAGGGAAGAACCGGCAAACGGTTCTGAAGACGAGGAGTCAGGCGAGAATTCAGGCCAGAAGGAGGATTTCGACGAGAATTCAGGCCAGGAGGAGTCGCTCGAGATTCAGGCGACGAGGAGGAGGCCGGTGAAGAAAGGGTACGTTGTTTGAGAATATTGCTTGTACTGTCGCTTAAGCGATCATTTGTATTGCTTAAGCGATTAATCTGTTTTACTCATGATCGCACTCATGATCGCTTAAGCGATTGATTCAGTTTACTCTTGGTCGCTTAAGCGATTTCAGATCGCTTAAACGATCTTGTCGAGGCAGAATCACAAATATAATAAGCGATCTTTTGCATCGCTTAAGAGATTCTCAGTTTACTTGCATGAGGCAGAGTCAAGATCTCTTAAGCGATCTGAAATCGCTTAAGCGACTACAGTGGTAATTTTTTGTTGCTGATATTTTGTTTATTAGTTGTTTTGATTTATTTTTGTTGCTGACATTTTGTTTATATCGATTGTNCTAGCATAGCTGGGATGTCCGGAGCAAGACAGATGCTCCCAGGGTCCGGTGGTCTTTCATCAATGTTGGGCCAGAACCTAAACCGGACTAACATGAATCCCATGCAGCGGACAGCAATGCCGCCGCCAAAGTTAATGCCAGGGATAAATCCGTACATGAGCCAACAACAGCAGCAACAGATGCAACAACAACAACTTCAGCAACAGCAACATCAGCAACATCAGCAACTTCAGCAACAGCTACAACACCAAATGCACCAGCAGCAACAACAGTTACAGCAGCCACCACAGCAGCCACCGCAAGAAACAGCATCACCTCTGCAGGCTGTTGTTTCACCATCTCAAGTTGGCTCACCATCAACCATGGGGATAACACAGTTGAACCAACAACCTCAGCAACAGTTGAGTCCACAACAACTCAGTCAAAGAACTCCATTGAGTCCGCAACAGTTGAGCTCTGGGGCAATGCATGCCATTAGTGCTGGTAACCAAGAGCCTTGTCCAACTAGCCCACAGTTGAGCTCTCAAACCCTTGGTTCCGTTGGTAGCATTACAAATTCTCCGATGGATTTGCATGGTGCAAATAAAAGCTAATGCTTAGGCAAGCTTGGATGACTAACATGTGACTGTAGTACTTACTGTCCACACATTCTGATGCAATATAATATTCCCTTGTGATAAATGCCTCATGTCTGCTTTTATCAGTCTCATATCTACTTTATCTGTTGCCATGCGTGCTTGGCTTTTAATTTTCTCTTTGATGGATTAAGTGTAACTAGTTGTTATTACTTTTAAATTTTATTTTCTGAAGAAACCTTCATTATATCCATGGGTGTTAAAGAAAAGAGGACAATTCCTTTTGTTTGGAATCTTTTCATGGATAAAGGCCAGCTACCTTCATGAGATTTAGGTTCGTCAAAGACAATAGAAAAAAACTTCTTTTGGGTGGTTGAGTGGTTCGATAGAGACTCTTGAGTGTATTACTCAAGAGGTTTTAAGTTCGAGTCTTTTCTCGATTGCTAATAAAGGTAGTCACTGAAGTTCTTACTTGATCAGTAATTTCAGGGTTTTAGGAGATTAGTTAAGGTACGCGTAAGCTAATCAAAACCAATGTTTTAAAACCCGGCTTGACCCAGCTGGTTTAACCGGGACCCGGAAGCTTCAACGGGTCAGGTTTATATTTTTCTTATTCACCCAAAACCCTAGGATTTGGGGGGTGATCGGCAAATAATTGACGACCGGGGTGTTGGGGCTTTTGAAGATAAAGTGCCAATGAATGCAATGGTGGTGACGAAGTTGATTTTCGGTGAGTAAATCGATTGGAAATCAAATAAAACTGGCAGCAGCAACAATCGGCTTTTGCCGGTGATTGACGAGGCTAACAGGGGTGGGGTGAGGTGGGTTTTGGTCGGGAGGAAGAGAGGAGTAATTTCGGGGTGATGGGGAGGGTTGTCAACGTCGGCGTAGATGAGATTTGGCTTAGAATGCCGATGTCGGCGTCAGTGAGATCTGGCCAAAATCGAACCTATTTCAGCCAAATCTTGGGTATAATTTAAGGGAAATAGGCTCAAGAGACAATTGGGGTTGCATTTAGGGTGTCTCCGTCACCAACCAGTCATCGGCCTATTTGTATTTGTGGTGTGTTTGCTAAATTTCAAACCTATAGGGACTTAATAGTAGTTTTTAGAGGTTTATTTGTTGAATTTTAAAAGTTTTTGTCAACCGGTTTAACTGTCGATCAAATCGGTTAAAAAGGTCAACCTGAGACCCAACAACTTTGTTGGGTTTCACCCCAGGTTGGGTTTTAAAACATTGATCCAAACACCTTCGGTCAAAAAAAAAAAAAAAAAAAAAGTGCCTTGTATAAGGAATGTTTTCTTTTGATGGATAATTCTAATTATTGTCATTATTGGGAATGTTCTCTTATGTCATTCAGATTTGTCAGACTAGAAATTTCCTTGTATTAGGAATGTTATGTTTTGATGGATAAATCTAATTATTGTCATTTGAATGTTCTCTTATTCATGGATAAGGATAAAATAGTCTTTGAAATTTTTTTGTAATTTAAAAAAAAAATAAAGGTATTATTATCTAAAAAATTTAATAATTAAAAATAAAAGTAAGATTATGAAATAATTTTGTTATGCCTCAAAAGTCACGCCTATGTCAGCTCATTTAATGTCTTCTTATACCAGCTGTCAAGCTCATATCTCCTCAAAGATATTCTCACCAACTATATCTCCTTTCAAGAGATGAATGGACGAGAGCCTTCCATGTGTCAAGGCAACTTGCAAAACACTCATTACATTGAGTGTTTGAGGGAATAAATGGACATTTCTCTTCACGAAGAAGGGAGCTGGAGGCTGGGCTGAGATTTGAGCTTCATTTCATTCTCTCTCTGTAAACACTGTATTTCTTCATCTTTGTATTCATCTTTGTATGCCTTCTGGGCAAAATCATAGAAATAGTCAGTGAACAATAAAATAATAATGGATGTAGGAGTCGCTTGTTGCATCCGAACCACTATAAAAACCCCTCTTGCCAATCTTTTATTTATGTTTTCTGCAACATATATAATCTCAGCTCCGTATTCAAATCTCATGGATCCATCACGTATGTCTCCTGAGTCAGCTCAACGTTTCCTACGTGAGAGTCGTTGGCGTCCAAAATCAAGCGTCAACAGTTTAGTGGCCCATGCAGGTCCGATTCTCAAACCTGCATCCAAGTTCCCTAATGGCGTGCTCAGATCTCAAACCTGCATCAAAATTCTCCAATCGTGTGGCCAGATCGCAGATCGCATACGTTAGAATTCTCCAATCGCGTGGCCAAATCGCACGCGTCAGAGTTCTTCGATCGGGTGGCCAAATCGTAGATCGCACGCGTTAGAATTCTTCGATTACGCATCAGAATTCTCTAATCGCGTGGCCAGATCACAGATCGCACGCATCAGAGTTCTCCAATCGCGTGGCCAGATCGCAGATCGCACGCCCATGTCGTCCTGATCCTCGGCTTCAGATCGCTGATCTTTAGCTTCAAATCGCGTGTTCAGAACGCTGAGATCGCTGATCTCTTGTGCTCTTAGGTAGAGCTCGTTATGATCTCTCAGGTCAAACTCGTCATGACCTTTTCAGGTCGAGGTCGTTTTGACCTCTCCGGACGAGGTCGTTTTGACCTCTCAGGTCGAGCTCTTCATGACCTTTTCAGGTCGAGGTCGTTTTGACCTCTCAGGTCGAGGTCGTTTTGATCTTTTCAGGTTGAAGTCGTTTTGATCTCTCAGGTCGAGCTCATTTTGACCGTCGTTTTGACCTCTCAGGTCAAGGTCGTTTTGCTCATTGAGGTCGTTTTGACCTCTCAGGTCGAGGTCGTTTTGATCTCTCAGGTCAAGCTCGTTTTGACCTCTAAGATTAAGGTCGTTTTGACCTCTCAGGTCGAAGTCGTTTTGACCTCAGGTCGAGGTCGTTTTGACCTCAAATTGAGCTCGTTTTGACCTCTTAGGTCGAGCTCGTTTTGCTCTCAAGTTGAGCTCGTTTTGCTCAAATTGAGCTCGTTATGACCTTTCAGGTCGTGCTCCTACCAGATTTCAGGTCGTTTTCCTAACAGATTTCAGTTCGAGCTCTTCAGTTTGAGACTGCAGCAATTCAGATCAAAGACTTAGTTTCTGAAGCGCGATTACGCACTTCAAAAACTGGGGGGCTTCTATTATGCCTCAAAAGTCACGCCTATGTCAGCTCATTTAATGTCTTCTTGTACCAGCTGCCAAGCCCATATCTCCTCAAAGATATTCTCACCAACTATATCTCCTCAAAGATATTCTCACCAACTATATCTCCTTTCAAGAGATGAATGGACGAGAGCCTTCCATGTGTCAAGGCAACTTGCAAAACACTCATTACATTGAGTGTTTGGGGGAATAAATGGGCATTTCTCTTTACAAAGAAGGGAGGCTGGAGGCTGGGCTGAGATTTGAGCTTCATTTCATTCTCTCTCTGTAAACACTGTATTTCTTCATCTTTGTATGCCTTCTGGGCAAAATCATAGAAATAGTTAGTGAGCAATAAAATAACAGTGGATGTAGGAGTCGCTTGTTGCATCCGAACCACTATAAAAACCCCTCTTGCCAATCTTTTATTTATGTTTTCTGCAACATATATAATCTCAGCTCCATATTCAAATCTCATGGATCCATCACATATGTTTCCTGAGTCAGCTCAACATTTCCCACGTGCAAGTCGTTGGCGTCCAAAATCAAGCGTCAACAAATTTTAAAATACCTAAACACACATTAAAGTAAGTTTGGTTGTTTTTTTTTTTTTTCGAATTACATGATCTTTTTTTTTTTTTTTGGCTGAATTACATGTTTTAACCCGAAGTTCAATTTACCATTCGAGAACTTTCAAAACGATAATTGCTCAATTTTCGTTAATATTTATCCCTTAATTTTAGCTTAGAAAGGATGTAATGGTCAATTCAAAAATAGTTAAAGGGTAATTATGTCATATAAACAAGAAAACCCAATTACATCTTCTTCTCATTCCCTTAGGCATCTGTGTCTGTAAGAAACTTCAATAACAATCGAGAGCGAACTCGGTGAGAAATATTAGTAGCGTGTGAGCGCAGGTTTACGGAAAGGGAAGCAATCAGCCAGCATTTGATGGACTTAGGCAGTAGCTAGCTTCTTTCTGATTCCTACTTAAGGTATTAACAAACCGAACAACCATCTGCCCTTCTACCCTTCTTTCCTATAAGATTGTTTTCCGTCTGAAATCATCACCCAAGCCTCTTGCATATCCCATTTGCCTTTTGACCGGGTATTTTGGCCGGATTTAGCCAAAATTTGCGACTTTTAGCTAGCCGCTTGTGTCACCGTCTCTGGTCGATTTGGTCGAAATTCGACGTCGTTGGTCTTCATTGTCATCACCACTAGCTTCCCCGACCTCTTCTGACCAAAACCCCCTTGATCCCCACATCTTTCATCCCATCGTTCGCCGCCCACCGCAAATTAGGGTTTCGCTGTTTTACGTCGATTTACGCTTGATTCAAACGGCCACAATCCAATCTTCCACCACCTCTGCAACCTCCAACCTCCACTCTACAAAACCCCTCAAGCTTTGATACCTGGTTACTTGCCATTCGTCGGCCGTGAATTGCCGCCTTCCACCTGCTGTTGGGTTTTGCGATTTGATTGATTTGAAGTTTTTTGGAGGCTTTTTGTTTGTTGTTCTGGTTGATTTGGAGCTGTTGTTGTATTGAGTTGCTGTTGTTGGCTTGTTTTTGGTGTTTTTCTAGTTTTTCTAGCTGGGATGTTTGGAGAGAGAGAGAGATGCTTCCACGGTCAGCACCCATGGCCTCAATATCTTGTATGGGTAATGTGGCTCCAAATTCTATGAATCTTAACCAAGCAGCAAACATCAGCAATGTTATTAGCCAGCAACTTCGATCTGGAAAAATAACTCCACAACAAGCAGCATTAATGGCATCAAAACTCAAGAGTCAAAGAATTTTGGGGCCCCCTCAATCTAGCATAGCTGTTGTTTCACCATCTCAAGTTGGCTCACCCTCAACCATGGAGATAACACAGTTAACGGGAATGTCAGCACCAATGGCCCCAATATCTAGTATGGGTAATGTGGCTCCAAATTCTATGAATCTTAGCCAAGCAGCAAACATCAGCAAGCAACTCCGATATGGAAAAATAACTCCATGTTGATGCTGGTTTTTGGCACCAACTAATTGTCACATGCGTAACGCTGATTGGCCAATAAACACACATGATAATGAATATAAAAAAGAGAAATAAATGAAAAGAGAGTTTTTAAAGTGGTTCGGATGCTAAGGTAGCAAGTCCTACGTCCACTGATTTGTATTTGTATTGATATTGATAGCGTGGGTCAGGTCGCGACAGCGGACTGACTTACAGAAGATTTAGGAAAAGTAAATGTGTTGTTTACAAGAGAGAGAGAGTTTCTCAGTATAAAAATGGCCGAATCCCCTTAATGAAGGGGTCTTCTTCATTTTATATCAAACTGAAGCGTGTAATCATCATTAAATTCATGGGTTGGTGTAATTGTCAGGATATAATCCGGCTTTATATCTCATTGCTCTCTTCCCAAGCTGATTTCGCACGATTTATTGCAGGGCAAAGGGACACGTGTGGGCTCCATATCATTTGGCAGGTCTGACGTGTGCTTGTTGCTCTGACGGGAGCAGGTCACTCTTCACGTGACTTTCCCACGTCAGCCCTTATTTTCCCAGGCATAACACTCCACAACATGCATCAAAACTCTAAGAGTCAAAGAATGTCACTTACTTAAACCCTTGGTTCCGTTGGTAGCATTACAAATTCTCCTATGGATTTGCATGGTGTAAATAAAAGCTAATGCTTAGGCAAAGCTTGGGTGTCCAATATCTTACTTAAAATACTTACTGTCCGCACGTTCTGATGCAATATAATATTCCCTTGTGATAAATGTCTCATGTCATCTTTTCATTCTATACTCAGATTTGTCTATTTCGATGGATGAAGTCGAATTAATTGTGATTTATCTTATCAGTTCTGTTTTCTGAGAAAAACCTTCATGAGATTCAGGTTTGTCAAACACAATAGAAATATTCCTTGTATAAGGAATGTTCTGTTTTGATGGATAAGTCTAATTATTGTCATTAATAGGAATGTTCTCTTCATGACATTCAGGTTTTTCAAAGACAATAGAAAATTCCTTGCATTATAAATTCTCTCTTATTCATGGATAAGTCTAATTACTGTCATTATCTTTTCACTTACTCCAAAAAACCTCATGACATTCAGGTTTTTAAACACAGGAAAAAGGAAAATCTCAGTTTGAGATATTAGCTTTGAAATTATACATCATTTTGTAGAACGAGATTTACAAACTTTTTCACAAACCAACTGCATCAGAACCAGAAAATACAATACAAAAAAATCAGTGAAGATTAAGAAATCAAGAAGTGGGCAGGAAACATTCCCTATATGCTGATCAGCAATCACCTTACAAGAGAGACTTCACAACATTGCTTCTCCAAAGTTTAAACTTCTTCTTTAAGGGGTGTGATCCGAAGTTGAGACTATAAATCCCCTTGAAAGCCTGCTCCGGCTTTGCAAAAGTAATCAGCTTCTCAAGAACAGAAGCACTTTCTGCAACGTGGTTCAAGTCTTTTGCGTCACTCCATAAGAGATTGGCTAACTGCCATCTCCTGTGCTTTGTTTGCAACCCAATACCCCATTTCAGGAATAGGTTCTGTCTCTGTTCCTTGGAGAACTTCTTCTTCATTTTTTGGCTAAGTATATACCTCTCTTTTTGTAGTGCCTTCAAGCTAAGAAACAATACCAAATTCTTATTAAAGATTAACTTTTGCTATTAAAATGTAAAACAAATTTAGATACATGTAATGTAATGCAATCACTATACCTTGAATCACGTGTCACAGTTTTACCATCTTCTACACATTCATTACCCCTTGAAAATGTTTCCTTGAGATAGGACAACCTCTTGTGCTCTACCTCTATGAACATCGAATCTTTTTTATCTCCTTTAAATACAAGGAAGAAGTAGGTCCGGTGAATCAGTGAGACATTACAATCATGCCAAAGTTCAATGATCTCTCTTCGGAGTCTCTCGAATTCTTCAGGCCACTTCCAAGGGTCTATCAGTTCAGTTTCCATTGGATCCAAGCCAACATCTCTCACACTCTTTGCAGGTTCAATGGGCTTTTTTTCTGCGTCCTGTTTTTTTTATATGCATCATATCCAAAGTAAAATAAACAACTGGATTCAAGTTTTTAAATAATTTTCACTTCAGCATGCAATGCCTTGTACCTATATATTACTATAAAGGATAATGTCAAAAAATAAACAGACACTCACTTCATGATCTGCAAGTTGCTTCTCATCCTGAGGATCAGTGGATTCCTCCTTAGGCAAAATTGAGGTGCTGACACTGGAACTTTCTGCACCATCTGGAATTTCAACATTCTGTGCAATAAGCTCATCAAAAGCTCCACTTCTGGCAGAAGTCTGAGATCCATCTCTTGACAAATTCTCAGAGTCAACAGCATATTTCAGTGGAGGAAATTTCCTTTGTAGATTCCTGGGTCTTCCAGCGTAATCCTTCTCAATTCCAATTGGAGGTGTCTTATTATCCTTTTCGTCACTCTCAAATGGATATAAGGACACACTAGTCATGAGCCTCGCTTTACAACTGCTACTCCTTCCTAACTTGAACATGCTAGAGTTACTCATGTCTTCTTCCAGCAGCAGTGGAGATGGTTTTTTGGGAGTTGGAAAAACAAAATCTGGAAGGACGTTCTTCCACTCTCTCTCTTCTTTCAAGGTCAGCGACCTCCACTCTCTCTTTTCTCTATCTTCATTCTCAGTCTCAGTCAATCCAGAGGTAGCTGGTTTCACTTCTTCATTCTCATTCTTAGTCTCATTCAATCCAGCGGTAGCTGGGTTCACTTCTTCATTCTCAGTCTCAGTCAATCCAGAGATAGCTGGGTTCACTTCAACAAATGTCACATTCGAATCTCTATATCTATTAATGCTAGACTCTGAAACATTTGAGTCTGCATATCTACTTAAGCTTTCTTCTGTCTGAATGCATCGAACATCCTTGTAAAGATCCTCTACATTTTCGTCAATTTCTGCTTCAATGTTCTCCTGAGACAAATCAATTCCAACGAAGATGGGAACAGTGACTTTGCCCTCTTGAAAGGAACAAGAGCCAGGGGAATTCTCTTGGAAGTCGTTGTCAGCGGAACTACTCCTGCTGTATCCATTTGGGGACTGAGATGCATCAGAAGATCTAACACTGATATCTAGATAGGGAGGGTCCCCAAGAACAGGCGTCTCCGACGTTGGAGAATCCAATGAATTTCGCACTCGCAATTTTGGGTACTGATGATCAAGACCTGCCTGGATGAGGATATTGGACAGTTTAAAATTGGGATGGAAAGACGAATGAAGATGTAAAGGAATGTTTAAGATGAAAACTAGACTTCACATACATATACCACAATTGGAGGTGTATTATTTGATCTATTTCTGGCCTCTTGTAGTAGATCCTCAACCTCAGCGCGAGCCAAGTCTCGTTGCAGAGTCATCTCACTTAATTCTCTTTTTAGCTGCATGAAAGAGAGAATTCAAGATGTTAGAAGAAAAGAAAGTCGCTCACTGCTCACATGAACGGAAAAATTTGTAGCATGAGGTCAGGTATATGTGCCAAGCACTCAACCGACCCCAATCAACTAAGGTCAATTACGAACTAGTTAGGGATGCGATTCAGCTGATGTTTGGTATTCTTGAAATATGAGGTCAGGTATACTTTTCCAAAGTACTCTGTCTAAAGAAAGACAGTTGTTACTAATAATAACAATTAATCAAGAAATGAGAAGTACTAAAAAACTAGATAATAAAACTTGTTGAATCTAAGAGGCCTTTGATCCAAGACTTAAGCAAAGCTAAAATCAAGTGAGGAGGACTAAACCTTTTTCATGCCAATATGATAAGGATACCAAAAACTTTTTGCAGTAAGCTGAACGCTTTATAAGAGAAAACGAAAAGCAGAGATGTTAAAAGTTATAGGCGAAGGAATGGGCAACCCTAAGGTTTGAGACAAAGATCAATAAACAAACAGAAAGCATGAAGGAAATGAAGGTAAACGAGTATAATTTTTGAAAGTATGCAACATTAATGATAACTGTGTGGTAATTGGAGGAGGATCACAGCTGAATCAAAAACATACTGAAATAATGGCTCAAAATGTTGGAAATCTGCAATGTAATTTTCATTGGTTTATAGAAGTACCTGAAACTGGTAATAACTAAATAAGAAGCTAGACACCTCATGCATATATCACTCTTGATAATGTGTCCCTACTGGCACAATATAGCTGTTTGTCCTGATGTAAGATATAAAATGGTTCTTTCATAATTTTGTACTGAAAGGTCGGTACTAAGTACTAGGAGACTATTAAATCACCTTTTCTATCTCAATGTCTTTTTCTCTCAGAATTGCAGCAGAATCAGATATATTAGAAGTTGCTCCTGAACTTCTCAACTCATTCTCCAATCTAGACAATTCTCTTTGCAAATGTTTTACCAATGCTTTATCAGACATGACTATGTTGACTTGTGCATTAGTAGCCACTTCTTTAGCACAACTTGCAAACAAGAGGGTATTCCTGGATTGCTCAACATGAATTCGTGCAGGGCTCAAGGTACAGATGATGGCAGTTCTAGCGTTGCCTCCTAAGGAGGACTGCAGTATGCGAGTTAGCTTTGAATCTCTATAAGGAACATGTCCACTTCTTCCCTTGCTGCATACAACCATGTAAGCTATATAGATAAATATTAAGTATAATATAATATTATTCAATATTCACTGAATGCTAGAGCTTAGTTACAAATGCTAAAATAAAAGGATTAAAAGAAAGAAAGAAAGAATACCAGAGTGAGCTAACATTCTTAATAACTAAAGTGAACTACAGGAAAGAAATATGGCAGTTCCTGATGTAATAAGTCAATCCATCACAGTATGCCAACATATTAAACTTTCTGATAACACATTACAAACTGTTGGAAGAAAAGGAAGTTATGTAAAGTTTTAAGGCTAACAGGTTGTAACATATTGAACTCAGAAGGTACATACTGAACAGAGAAGGAAATATCAGCGATGATTTTTAAGTATTGTGATACAGCATAATACATTTTCTTCAAGCAGACAACAGAATTGCCACAGCATAGCAACATGATACACTTTTAATTAAATAGAAGGTAAAAAATTTGATGACAAAGTGCAGAAAACTACGACTTTTCATCAATTAACCAGCCATTAAGGATTTTGTTGAACTGTTAGCTTTTCAGAAACACCCATTAGAGGAAGGAAAAATGGGAAGATCTTTGCAATCACTGCAAGAGCAACGAAGGAGATAAGACCGAATGCAACTTGCTCAACCTATGGGTGCATCCAATTCTCATTATTAAAATGCATCATCACTAAAGTTACAAGTAGTTTAATGCACTTTAGTTGTTCCTACTGGTGCGTTTTGTTCTCCTTCTACAATGCACTAAATATAAGTGGACAGGTATCCGAAGAAATTTATCCTTCCATATGACAAGCTCTTATGCACACAAACTAACCTTAGCTTACGGATAACAGTTCCCAGTGTCAGTAAACTACGATTTATATGGCAACCTTCTTTCAATCGTGTGCCAGCTGATAAAGCCTGAGAAGCACGTTCACTTCCTGCAAGATCAACAAAGTTCTGCAAAGGAAAATAAAAAAGAAAAGAATGTTAATTATGTTTGTTTCAGCTTTAGCAATATTACAAATCAAATCATTCATGGAAAAAATGTAATTTTGCATACCACAGTGGCTGCAAGGCAGCTAGTACCATTGCCAAAGAACTCACGTACAGAGCTTTCCATTGTCTGAAACAGAAACATAGGTCAATAGAAGGAATATCATTTAGTTTACCCAGCAGTGTTACATACAAAATTTTGTAAAAATAAATCACAAATTACCAGTCTCAAAATCTGATGAGATCTGGAGCTTGTTTCATTCAGAGAAGTCTCCCCAATCTGTCTTTGAGCTGCCAAAATGCAGTAGGGCATATATAAATATACATTTATGGGACATACAGCGAAAACAACATTACTTCAAGCCATCCCTACCTTCACAAATGGATAGAAGCTCCTTAAAATGACTCCAGTTCTTCAGAGTTTCCTCTGTGAGTTTCTCAACAATAGTTCCTTTCTATTAAGATTGATATATCAGCTTGGTAAAATATATTAAAAAAAAAATTTAGTTCACCTAGCCAATAATGAAATCACCTCTGGATCATCAAGGACTCTAAGTGGACTGCTGTCTGTACTAAGAAGGTCTCTAACAGATTCATTATAAATCTCCATAGCAGATAACTTCAAAATGAATTCTCTTTCCTTGTGCTACAAAAAGGAAACAGAATTATTATTTTTTTTTTAAAAGGGGGCAATGAATAATTGTGAAAATGAGCATAATTGCATGTAAGGAAAATTGATAAATATATTAAGGTTGTCATTACCCTATCTATGTAGTCATATATATCTGCCATGCTGTACTCAGTAATTCCAGTCATCGTGTACGTCTTTCCACTGCTTGTTTGCCCATAAGCAAAAACACTTGCTGAAAAATAAGTGGATGTAAAATTTAGTTGATGGAATTCAAGGCAAAGTTCATGTAACCTGTACAAAGGGAGAAGAGCCTGTATATCACTCACAGTTTATGCCACTGACTACTGAAAGAGCAACCTCCTTAGCTCCTTCCTCATACACCTTCCTTGTAGTGCAATCATGGCTAAACACTCTATCTAGAACCAAAAATTAAACCAACAAATAGCCCAGAAAAATCAGATCATAAGAGTATGAGCACACCAATTCTTGGAAGATAAGATGCTAACAGATGCAATCTGTCAATAGAACTTGGTGGCGACAAACACCAACTTCAAGTCTTCTAAAATCTTAAAAAGAGTTGACAAAATTCAATGCGGCAAAAAAACAATATATCTTGAAACTAAAGATTGGAGGTAGAACCATCATAAAAAATTCATAGACAATGAATAACATCCATATGAGACAAACTTATGGAAAACGTGGTGAAGTCTATCTTATTACAATGGTCAGTCTGCTAATAAATTCACATATTGAGAAACTTAAACCAACTTAACATTCAAATAAATCCTTACCAAATGTATAGGCAGTTGGATACATGGACCGTTCAGCAACTGAAAGATTGTTCCTGTATATGATAGTGGTTTCGTTGATGCATTCCCAGTCTGACGCATCATTTCTTGCAATTTCTTTCTCATTCAAAGGCCGCAATCGAACTGAAACAAAAATTCTCTCCACATTGCTGCTTGGCCCTTGCATGGGTTCCTCCTCATTGGCTGCTCCCATCTTCACCTTTTCCCCTTCTTCACAAACCGAACTCTAAAGAACATATATAAGATGAGACCATATACAAAGAAATCAGTGTACTATGACCTAGACTGTATATCTTTTGCTTCTTTTTTCTTCACCACCTCACAACTTTTTCTTCACTATTCAATTAATGAATCACCATTCAGATTCTGTTGAATAAAGCAAGTGTTGATCTTCTAGAAAACATAAGGGCCACTCAACTTTTTCATACCTTACAATCATCTGCATCAACAAACTAATCATGGATTAGTGCTAAATCCACCCACCATTTTCTCTGTGTTCTATCTCAACCCAGACACCCATATCTTAATTTGACTTTTTTTTAACTCAAACAAGTCATATAAAAACACAAATCGTCAATCATCAGCTACCATCATTCTACGAAACAAACAAGCAAACAGTTGTTTATGGACATTTAATAATTCATTTAAACTTTTTCTAGTATGGTCCCCAATTACAGTCTGTCAAAAGTCTTCGCTAATATAAAATACCTTGAATAATTAAAAAAGAAAAAAAAGTTGCAATACAATAATTTTTACCTAGTAGAAACGAAAATGACAGTCGTTTTCAAGGAATGTTTGTAATTTTGTGAAGATTATTCTTCACTAGCTCCATGTGCAGCGCCGTGCAGAATTGTTCGTTCAAACTGTAAATGATTTGTTTGGTTTTCTTCCAAAATTCGTCTTTTTGGCTGTTCCTTAGTTGTCTGAAATTTATTTCTGTTGACAGCAAAATCCAAAGCGTATGAATTAGCTAGAATCCCAAACATAGAATCTAGGAAACACACCTTAATAATAAAACCAATTTGAACCATGAAGAAAAACAATAACTATATTAATATCATGAACCAAATTCAAATTTTCTGGCATTCAAACGATAAATTCTCTTGACATAAAAATTTTAAGATATAATGTGAGTACAAAGCTCTGCAAAATTCAGAATTAAAATCAAATTTAAACTCAGCAAAACCAAACACAACCTTGAAAATGCTTATATTTTTAAAATTGACTATGAAATCTTCATGAATTCTTTAATAATTATAAATAAATAAATAAACAAAAGTAAGCACATCTCACCTCCTCATGCAGATGTGATGTTATTTCGAAAAAGGAAAAGAGAAATAGACGGAGAGAAGATCCTAACTCTTCCCTCTCCCTCTCTTTTTATCTGATTTCGAAATTTTTAAAAGAAAATGTAAATGTAAAGTTAAGGATGCTTAAGTCATTCTGTTTAAAGACCTGCAAAAAATGTGAGTGGTTATGGCGTCGGCTTCTCCATTATTTGATATTAACCTTTGAATTAAAACTACCGCGCTAAACCAAGTCGTTAACTTTTAATATTACTAATCTGCCCATAAAGTTGCGCCACAATTTCTCATCACGCCCTCATTAACTAATAAATTATTAATATATAGTACTTTTTTTTTTTTTTTTTGGCCTTCCTTACGTCAAAGTACAAATATATTTAAATTTCCACCGGTCCATGTTCAATACGATGCAACTGTCATTCAACAGGAAAACAATTTTTTTTTTTTTTTATAGATGTTCGACCAATTTACGTATATTTTAACTAATTTTTTAGGATCTTGAAGTTAACGATCAGATAAACCCCCCATTGATTACCTTTAATAGTAATTCGGGATTTTGAAGTTAACGACCGAATAAACCTTCCGGTGGTCACTCCTCTTAGTAACCCAAGACCCTTGAAGTTAATAATTGAGCAAACCTTCCAGTGATCAGTGATCACCTATATTAGCAACCGAGAGAAATTGAACTCAAAACCTTTTAAATAATACACCCAAGAATCTTTATCGTCTCGCCTAACCATTCAATGGTGGTTAAAACATTCCTTACTACATCTTTGCAAAATAAAATTACTCGCTTCAAATATTTAAAATAGATTTGACGTTGTATTTTAAAATTAAATTTATATTGAAGATATGAATAATATAAATATAAGACAATTGATTATTAAAACATTCACATCTATATCAAATACGTTGCAGTCTCATTAAATAAAAATAATTTATTTCTTTATTAAACTTCATAAATGTGAATTGATAACACAGCACTGTCTTATTGTTATTGATTATGGCAATCTCATCTGCCACAACATCGATCAAACAATCACTGAAAGCGCCATACTGCCAATAATAAAAATAATACGTTCAAAGATACGAGTAGAAATATACAAAGTAGAATACATATTTTATAATGTAAAAGGATATTAGCTGGCTTTGAATTAATTTCTTTCCCCACAAAAGGGCGGGAGGGAGGGAAAGAAAAAAGCTGCAGCTGCGAAAATGCATTGAGGAAGTGGGGACCCTAGTTAGTAAATTCGCGTTTTATACGCGAATTATACGGCTAGCCGTATAATTCCCGTATAAAACACGAATTCACGTATTTTATTAGGGCTGCCGTATAATTCGCGAATTATATACCCTATCCGATATAATTCGCGAATTATTGCCGAATTTTGCAGACAAAAAAATATTACATGATAAGGCAAAACGACGTCGTTTTGTGGTGGGTGGGGGTTTGACTAAAATTAAAAAATCTCCTTCTCCTCTTCTCGGTTCTCTCTTCCACAGTCTTTATCTCTCTTCAAATCTTCAACAATTCAACTCTTTTTTCTCATCTCTTGACTCTGAGTCTTGATCTCTTCTTCTCTTCTCTTTTTATATTTTAACTCTCTTCTCCAAGCTTTAAGTCCAAGACTTCAACTCTTCAAGCCTCAAGCTAACACTTCTTCTCTTCTCTTTTAACTCTCTTTGAATCTTGTATTGGTGATTGTGTGTGTTTGTGTTGGGGGGTGAGTAGTAGTAATAGGGGCTGTGGATTGATGGATTTGTTATGTTGGTGGATTGATAGATTTGTTTGAAACATGTTTGATGAAATGCTTGTGAGAGTTTATTTGGTATCTGTTTTAAACATAATATTCATTTAGTTCTATTGTTTTGTGTTGTATGGGTCAAAATGAAAAGACTAAAGATCATCTATGAAAGCAAAAGGTAAAGGCAAAACTGCAAAAGAAAAGCATGATTCATAAAAATAATATTGTCGGGCTTGAGTTGGAATTGCAGATACTTAAAGAAGAAGAAAAAAAGCAACAAACCATCAGTTTACAACCAACGCCAACTGCAAATTGTAAACCATGTGCACTTTGTCATGTTTTTAGATTTCATAACACTATTATTATTTGACCTTTGAATGTACTGTCCAATTAAATTCAGAAAATAAAACAACTATACTAATTAGAATCCAAACTTTGTATGCGTAGCTATAAAATTAAGGATAAAATACTAGTCTAGTTATTGTTCAAATATACTTTAAATTAAAAGGAAAATAAATTGAGGACGACCACAATGGATTATTTAAATGGGGATGTTTGAAAAGTGCTAAAACCAAGATTGCTATTGCCGTATTTTTCAAAACGTATTATTGACAATGTGTGTATTAAACCCGTATATATCTGAATCGTATTTTTTCCGTATCCAAATTTTATGACCGAATTTTTACAAACGTATTTTTCACCATTTGCCGTATCATACCCGTAAAATTCTCGTACCGTTTTTTGCCGTACCCGTATTTACTAACTAGGGTGGGGACTATTTTGACTAAGAGTGTATATGATAATAAACACCCCATGTGATGTGATCCGTCAAGTGTTTGAAATTTGGTTGTTAATAATTAACTTGTTAAAGGAGAAACCAGAATGGGGACTTGTAATTTATAACTTTGTGCTATCAATGCATGTGCATGTGCATGTGCATCTGTTATCTACCCATAATCCATTTTTCTTTTCTTCTATTCCAATTCAGTTCATTGCTGCGACAGTGATGTCTCATAAAAATTGAATTTGAATTGTATTATATATATTCATATAAGGTCACTAAAGTCTAAAGTATAATAAATCCTATATACTCTTCTCACTTTTTTTTTTTTTTTTTTGGTAACCGATGTGTCCGGACTAAATTGCGAGCACCTCAACAAATTTAGTAGTCTATTGAACACCCTACAAACCCAAGGATTAGATAAGTTATAATGTATTATAGTAGGTGGTCCCACGGTTTGAACTCAAAAACTAAGGAAGTGAACAAACTTCCTTAACCCGTTAACCCAGGGTAACCCCTTGGGGTTATGTACTCTTCACTTAAGTTTGTTTGTAATTTTTTTTATTTATTTACCAGGAGTGTCCAAGCAAGCTTATGCGCACCTTAATTAATTCTCAAGACTTTAAAACTGTCGACCTCCCTATAAGTGTCTGGGGGACTCAAACTTAGGAGCTTATGAAACGTCTTTTGCTCCTGTATACTCAAGAGCTTATATATATTATATAAGGTCACTAAAGTCTAAAGTATAATAAATCCTATATACTCTTCGCTTGTTTTTTCTTTTTTTGGTAACCGGGGTGTCTGAACTAACTTGCGAGCACCTCAACAAATTTTTGGAATTCGTTGAACACTTTACAAGCCCAAAGGATTAGGTAAGTTACAATGTTATTGTAGTAGGTGATCCCCACGGTTTGAACCTAAAAACTTAAGGAAGAGAACAAACTTCCTTAACCCGTTAACCCCCAGGGCAACCCCTTGGGGTTATGTACTCGTCACTTAATTTTGTCTGTAATTTTTTTTTTTAATTTACCAGGAGTGTCCAAGCAAGCTTGTGCACACCTTAATTAATCTCTCAGGACTTTAAAACTATCGACCTCCCTATAAGTGTCTGGGGAGACTCAAACTTAGGAGCTTATGAAACGTCTTTTGCTCCTGTATACTCAAGAGCTTATATATATTCATATAAGGTCACTAAAGTCTAAAGTATAATAAATCCCATATACTCTTCTCACTTTTTTTCTTTTTTTGGTAACCGGGGTGTCCGGGTTAGCTTGCGAGCACCTCAACAAATTTCCAGAATCCGTTGAACACTTTACAAGTCCAAAGGATTAGGTAAGTTATAATGTTATTGTAGTAGGTGATTCCACGGTTGGAACCTAAAAACTTAACGAAGAGAACAAATTTCCTTAACTCGTTAACCCCCAGGGCAACCCCTTGGGGTTATGTACTTTTCACTTAATTTTGTCTGTAATTTTTTTTTTTATTTACCAAGAGTGTCCAAACAAGCTTGTGCGCACCTTAATTAGGGGGTGTTTGTCTGAGCTTATGAAAATTAGCCTATAAGCAACAAGTGCTTATAAGCTAATTTTAGCTTATAAACATTTGAAATTTTAAGCAATTACGTGTTTGGTTAAAGTACTTAAAAGTGACTGATAAGTAGTTGACGTGTTTGGTAAAATGTGGCTTATAAGTACATTTTATTATAAAATGACTAAAAAAGGTACTACATTAAATAAGGGTATACTATGGAATTTTAAAATTAAACAAGGATAATGTGGTAATATACTTGGTCAAACTAACTTATAAGCAGAGTGCTTATAAGCAAAAAAAAAAAATAAGTACCTCCCCCCCAACTTATTTTTTTTTTTTTTTTGCTTATAAGCTCAAAAAAGTTATAAACAAACAAGTCAGCTTAATTTTAGAACTTATAAACTAGTTTGACCAACTTATAAGCTTAGACAAACACCCCCTTAATCTCTCAAGACTTTAAAACTGTCGACCTCCCTATAAGTGTTTGGGGAGACTCAAACTCATGAGCTTATAAAACGTCTTTTGCTCCTATATACTCAGGAGCTTATATATATTCATATAAGGTCACTAAAGTCTAAAGTATAATAAATCCTATATACTCTTCTCTCTTTTTTTCTTTTTTTGGTAACCGGGGTGTCTGAACTAACTTGCGAGCACCTCAACAAATTTTTGGAATTCGTTGAACACTTTACAAGCCCAAAGGATTAGGTAAGTTACAATGTTATTGTAGTAGGTGATCCTCACGGTTTGAACCTAAAAACTTAAGGAAGAGAACAAACTTCCTTAACCCGTTAACCCCCAGGGCAACCCCTTGGGGTTAGGTACTCGTCACTTAATTTTGTCTATAATTTTTTTTTTTTTATTTACCAGGAATGTCCAAGCAAGCTTGTGCACACCTTAATTAATCTCTCAGGACTTTAAAACTATCGACCTCCCTATAAGTGTTTGGAAAAACTCAAACTCAAGAGCTTATAAAACGTCTTTTGCTCTTTTACCATCAAGTCATCCAATGATGATTAAAAGAACGTT